TACACCTACACCCCCTCCCAGATCTGACATCCCAATCCCCTCCTACCCTAGGTCCCATCCCAAACCCCTGCACTCCAGTCTCCTGCCCTAGGTCACAACCACCTGCTTCATCCCAGCTCCCTCCCAGACTGCAGTCTCCCTCCTGCACCCCGGTCCCTTCCCCCAAGCTCCCTTCTGCTCCCAGACTCCATTCCAGACCCTGCATCCCCATTAATATCATGGAAGAGTGCGGCCCTCGACCACTTTCCAAAATCTTGGAGCGGCCCCCCCATCAAAAATCATTGCCCACCCCTGCTCTAGATGGAGTCTGTATTTAAACACATCACATATTAAAAGGCTACCAAAAATCTCACCTCCTGCACTAAAGCCGTGTCTACAGTCAGAAAGCTGTACCCATTGAAACGACACAGCCTAGTTAATCTGGTGTGAGCCCCCTAACGTAGACGCACTTATACCATCGGAACTGGTTTAAGTTACAGATAACTTCTGCCCTAAGGTAGGTATAACCCTTCCGTGCTGGTGCGAGTAAATGCATTCAAATACAGAGCAGCTCCCGGTGAGGCAGAGAACGACCCCGTGCTTGGGAGGAGGAGGGAAGCTGGTAATAAAAGGGAGCTTGATCAGACAAAACCAACTCCTGTTGCCCAGAGCCGAGCAGGGGAGCTGGGGGAAAGGAAGCCAGACAACTTGAGGGCGGGGGGCTGGACTCGATGACCTCTTGAGGTCCCTTCCAGTCCTATTATTCTATGATTCTAACTCCCCCTTGTAACGCCAGGATATGTCAGTGGAGCGGGACAGAGGATGGGGAAAGGAGAAAGGAGAGACAGTGAGGAGGGGGACGGGGGGACGGACACAAGCTCACCCTCGCCGAGGGAGTACACCTTGAACCCGGACATTTTCTTGGACAGGACGGATTTTGGCAGGTTGAGGAGGGCGGGGTTGTAGACGGGGAAATCGTGGTAATAGTTCTCCAGGATCCACACGGCCACACGCTGGATACTGCGGGGAAAGACACAGACAGGGCGGGGGTGGGGGCACAAAATAGCAGGTTAGACTGGTGGGACGCATGGGCACAGGGGGGAGAACAAAGGGGGCGACCGTGATGTGCTGGATCTGAGAGCCACACGCCGTGGGCGGGAAATGCAGCATCAATAATCCATGGGGACGGAGCTCTGTCCTGTGGGAGCAGCACGTCCCAGACACTGCCCCACGGCCGGCCACAGACAGCGCTGGGCCCAGGGGCTGAGCTCACCGTGGCCTGCTTTCTCATCGCGAGGCGTAATCGCCACACGTGACGTTAGCATTTGTGACGACTTGTGCACGTGGGACTGGGGACCGCTGCAGGGAACAGTGTGGGAAGGCGCGGGTCAGAAAATAATTATTTAACGACAAATGCGGGCGTTCAAACAGCCAGAGCTCTGCAATGGTTAAAACACGAGCTGTCACCAGCACACGGCGAGAGTCTCCTTCAACCCAGCGCCACGACGTTCTCCAGCCGGGCTCTTCTCTTGCCTGCCTGTCAGCGTCAGTGCCCGGGGGTGGACATGCCTTTAGGTGGGTCGGGAAACCGTGGCTTGCTGCTACGAACCAATAAGCAGCGAATCCTGCCAAGCCTCCCTACGAGCTGGCGCAGGCCCCTAAAGGTCTCTGCCGCGGGAGCTAAAGGAGACATCCCACGGACAAGGCTGCCACTGCGAGGTAATATCTGTGGGACCCAGTTCTGGTTCTGTTTAGGGATGTAAGGGACCAGTCAACTATCTGATAAGCATAAGCTTATTGGACAGTCAAGCAGACACTCGACTAGTCGCTTCACCCCCACTTGCTGTCGCTATCAGACAGAAGGCAGCAAGGGGGGGGGGGGCAGGAGCCGGTGCTAGGGGAGCCGGCTTAAAAGCTGGTTCCCCCCCAGCCCCGTCTCCGCAGGGGGCAGGCGAGGCAGAAATGTCCCTATTGCTGTACCTCTCCCACTGAAACGTACAAAAGCTGCCCACAGCTCTTGTACATTTCCAAGGGAGAGGTGCAGCAGGATAGGGAGTGTCCCTCTTATCGACTAATCGATTAGTTGATAAATCGAAATTTAACATCCCTAGTTGTGTTACTGTGGCCGGCAGGCACAGAACCGTGCAGCAGGAGACGGCAGTGCGTGGATGTTCATGTGCGTGCAAGGTGTGGGTACGGAATGCATGCACACGCCTACACAAACGCACACCCATTCTCCCCTTCCTCCTCCCCAAGACTGTACCCAGCTGCAGGCAGTGGTGTGTGCAAATGCACACATAGGTCCAGTTCCCTGGAGCATACAGCAACATTTTACACACACAAGACACACACACACACACACACACACACACACACTCACACACTCTCCCTTGCCCCCCAGGCACAGGGATGGGCAATAAAATGGGGGTGGTTGGCAGGGTTAGCCCTGCTGGGCTGCTGCT